AAGGTCACGGTGGAGGTGGGTTAGATCACCTCTCTCTCTTTTCCTGCCTCCTCCCCCACCCAACCCCCTCCCTCCCCCACTCCACTATTCGTCTAACTTGATGTTTGTGTACAATTAAATCCGCCCAAATCATTCCATTGTACATTCTAAAGATTTGTTTTATTTTGTTCACGTCATTAACATATTATTACCATATTATGTGAAGTGAATATTATGTATTTTGTGACGTCTCTTTGACCCACCTGTGACTTGTAACTTGGGACAGTAATTAAGCAGTACAGGTGATTACACAAAGGTGATGGTGTATGTCAGTGGTGGTGAAGGTCTGTCTTAAGCTGCTGTCAGTCATCACCTCAGGTTAATATCACCTTAGTTTAGCCATCACCTACTCCAGTCATCACCTCATCTCCAGTCATCACCTCTATCAAAAGCCATCACCTCATCTCAGTCATCACCTCACCTCAGTCATCACCTTATCTCAGTCATCAACTCCATGAAGTATAAAGCCACTCGATCTTCACACACATTGTCTCACCTCAGCTTAATTATTCCCTTGAGAACAATTTGCTACTGAGCCTTCATCACACCTCTTACCTGGCGAGAATGGATGGAGCTACCTGGTACACGCCTTAATTAGTGTTGTGGTCGTGTGGGGGGGGGGGGTTGTTGTACTTGTTATGTCTCTTTGTCTTCATCATCATAGTCATCATCATCATCATCAGCCTTCTTTCACTTCTTTTGTTAACGTTTGATGGTTAATTTTTTCTTCTTTCATTTTACTTCTTCGAGCAATTTTTTTCTGGACTTTTGTATTGTTATTATTATTAGTTGTTGTTGTTGTTGTATTATTATAAATATTAGTAGTTTATATATTATTAATATTATTATCTTAAAGGTAACTCAGTGACAACAGGTGTGCCCTCTGACTGTATGTAATTATCACCTGACCAAACCTGTACAGTCAGTCAGGTGTGTATCTGCCTCAACGTGTTACAAGAAGTAGTTGAAAGTTTGCAATAAAAATCTCCTTTTGTATTTGTATTCTGGTTAAGATAATGTATCAATTACTCGACCCGACCCAACTTGACCCAACCCAACCCATTCTAACCAAACCCTACCTAACGCCAACCCAACTTAACCTAACCCTACCCAACCTAACCATGAGATTTACAGTCCATTAAATACCAGTTATCATACAGTATTTCATGTCATGGGTTGGTAAGTGTCTCAGTAGATGTATCTATGTATTTCCCACCTTCCATTTATAACATGTATATTTTCACTTGTTTGTATTTTAATTGTCATATATAAAGGTATGAAGACATGGGGGGGGAGTCAGGAAAACAAGTGATATATTAAAATAAAGTTTATTACCCAATCATTCTTCAGCTCGACATTTAAAAGAGATGGTCAGGGTTCGGTCCAGGGTGATACGTCTTATATCCGGCTCATGATTATCTTCACTACTTAATGATTATCACCACTTTGATCATCACCACTTATGATCATCACTACTTATAATCATCACCACTTATGAACATCACCACTTATGATCATCACTACTTATAATCATCACCACTTATGAACATCACAACTTGTCATCACCACTTATGGTCATCACTACTTATGGTCATCACCACTTATGGTCATCACTACTCATGATCATCACTACTTATGGTCATCACCACTCATGATCACTAATTATGATCATCACCACTTATGATCATTACTACTTATGGTCATCACTACTTATGATCATCACCACTTATGGTCATCACCACTCATGATCATCACTACTTATGGTCATCACCACTTATGATTATCACTACTTATGGTCATCACCACTCATGATCATCACTACTTATGGTCACCATCACTTATGATCATCACTACTTATGGTCATCACCACCCATGTTCATCACTACTCATGATCATCACCATCTTTAACAGTAAGTCACATCCCTTATACAAACATACACGTATCAATAAACCTCTTCTACTTATACATTAATATACTTCAGTACTATAACATACCTTAGCATCAACATTACCCTGTGTCAGTATAGAGTGTTTATACAATATACAATAATGATAACTATACAACATGACTATAATTATATAAACACTCTCCCTAACATCAAGTCTTATTGCACCTTTAATTCCTACATGATCGCTTATAACGCAGTGCTAACAACTTACCCCATTACCAACACAATAATCATGTATATATTATTGTTATAAATACTTCTTTTGTCACCATCCTCTGCCAACACGTAGGGTGGCGTACACAGGGGGAGGGAACGTTTAACATGGAAATTTTGCTTCAAAGTCCCAAGAGCCGGATTTGTGTTCCATTCTGAATGAAACCACGAACCCAAGTCCGGATTCGTGTTCCCTCCAGTCACTCGGGAACTCTCCAGTCAAAAATATTCGGGGATGGGGGGGAACATATAGAGATGACAACAAACAGATGCTTTTAACGCTTGTATTACAGTGTTGATTACATGGGAGAGTCGACCATACTGATAGTCAAACTTAACACTATTATAGAAGAACAAAAAAAGTCTTTTACAAGTTCAAGGTTATAAACCAATTATTTGTTCTGGTGGTCGTCAACTTGATACATGAATGACCTTGTAATAATCACCAGCTTGTGTTTTGTTTTTAATTATAATAAGCGTAACTGTTGTTTTCTAAATGTTTGTCGGTTTCTGTTAAATTTGGGGGTGAATTTACAACTTTTGTTTAACTGAGAGGAATAACTGGCTTCCATTACTCTACCACAGGGTTACACTTCTTAATGATCTCTGTCGAAAAAAGATAATGATTTTCTCTCATTCTCATTTAAATTAAGGGAGATAAATAATCATGTACAAATGCTTGAGAGTGAGAGATGTCCTATTGTTACCGTAGGGTGTTATTGGAGGAGCAGCTGTGAGCGCCACTTAGCGGTCTGGCACGGTGCTAAGTGGTGTCACAGATGCCATAATGGTCTGGGGGGTGGATCACTGCCTCCTGAACAACAATCCTTAAGGATTTATACCTATAAGAGGCTTTGTAAGGATGCGTCTCCAGGACACATCCTTATTAAGCGTCTTCCTTCAGGAGGCAAGAAGCACCTTACAAGGAAGTTGGGCGGACTTCTTCCTTAGTTCTTAAAGACATTTTTGTTAAACATTTTCTCACCTAACACGAGATATGTTAACTGTCTGAATGTACAATAATGCCATACATACATACATACATACATACATATACATATATATATATATATATATATATATATATATATATATATATATATATATATATATATATATATATATATATATATAAAACCTTTGTATTTACATACATTTTGAATATGGAATACTTACACTGAAATGGAATGGACAGAATCTTTGAGAATGATTGATTTAAGCTGCAGGTGTCACAATAATTGAGCCCTTCTGTTGTACACCTAAGAGTCACACACACACACACAACACAGTCAAAATAAATACACCCTACAAGATTTTACTGAAGATAAAGTTGGTCAAGTACTACAGTAAAGTTACATTATAAGTCTCAGGGTCACTTGATAAGAACAAGGAATATACGCCCTGACTTTACAAAAATAGAATGTATATACTGTACAGGGTGTCTCAAAAACATTGACACCACTACAGTACCTTACGTATTGTCGTGGAGGTGGCGTGAATGTTTGTACAGGTATTTTATAACAACATTTTCCTCACTTGTGGGAGATCTCGCTCGTCAAACACTCACACCATCTCCACGACAATACGTACAGTAAGGTTGTGTGTATATATTTTTCTGAGACGAGGTTGGGATGGTGCACCAGGAGCCCTCAGTCTCACAAGCTACACGAATGAACAAGTGTTGAACAATGATTGAAAAAAACATCAAAAGCACAACTTTCTCGTCAAATAATTTTAAGTTAGAAACAGTTCCAGTGAAAGAAGACGCCACAAACAACTAACAGACAAACACACGTGCTGTACTGTGGGGCGGGGGTGTTCGTCTCTCCTTGCTGAGACTAACAGTACCTAAACGTTAACAAATATGCCATTGCTTGAGCCTTCAAGTTTTAACAAGCTGCGAGAGCGTTGTGACAAGACTAACTCGTGTCCAAGAATTATGAGTAAAATAGTTTGAAATCATTTATTATTGGCGGACAGACACACAACGTCGTGTTATTAGATGTATATAAATGTTTTTTCACCAGACACTTTTCATTCTGTTGAGTTTTTTTTTACTCTGAATGTGAACAAGTGAGCAGGTTAGGTCGGAGCTTTTTACGTTGACCTGACTAAAGACGTCACAAGAAAACGTCAGCGGTAGCAAGTTGATATATCTGAGCATACTATTTATACAATTGTTTATAGATTGAGCATACAACACACACATACACACGTTATTATGTTACATTAAAACGTCTGCTGTGGTCGGAGGGTTTAAAGACTATATGAGCAATGGCATTCCTTATAATTGCACTTGCGATGAATGACGAGTAGCAGCTCCGATACTACGCTCCTCCCCCCCTTCACATGTACAGCTGAACGACCAGTGGCCGACCTGTACAACTGAACGACCAGTGGTCGTCCTGTACAACTGAACGACCAGTGGTCGTCCTGTGCAGCTGAACGACCAGTGGTCGTCCTGTACAACTGAACGACCAGTGGTCGTCCTGTACAGCCAGCCTTTTTAATAAGTTTGAGCTAGTCTCTAGTAAATTATATTTTGTACTTGATAGTAACGTTCAGTTAAAGAAGACTGACTGAGCTACTGTAAGAGACTATGAAATAAAAGTTGTCTAGAATAACAAATGAAATTTCATGTGTAAATATAATTATATATACTGTATATATAGATGTATTATAAATAAATGTATATATGGATATATTGACTACATAGATATATACATTACGTATAATAACCTGGGCCATGTATTATAATTTAACATTATAAATATGTGCGGGTTTAATTGATATTGTACAATTCATTAACATTTTTATTTATTTATACTAATAAAAGATACAAAAATTTTATTTTTCTTCGTTAAAATATATTTTAGAGTCAAATACTTTCATAATCTGTCATACACACTTGTGTCTCTCACACAATCAAACGGGACAGTCTGAATGAAGTTTAGGCATCCCGAGGCGCTTTATCACATTGGTGGGGCCACCACCCTCAGCCATCGATCTTCCTCTTCTGTCCATATAAGTTAGGCTCTTAACTTTAAAATTATATATACACACAGGGACAAGAGAGACAGTTTTTGGCTAAGAGAATACTAGGGTGACGCCCATGCCGTTTCGGTCGGCTCCGCTGAATGCCAAGGCCCGCCGTCAGTGCGAGGCTCTGGACAGTGTAACAAGGTGACTAGGTGTTCACCCCACCCCCAGCTCCCCTCTTCCTGCTGGTCCTGCTGCTGCTCCTAAGGACACGTCCAAACCGTTGCCACGCCTTACCCGCCTGCGCCAGCGCTGCGGTCTAAAGACACGTGTAGCGCGGTGAGGTGTCGCCGTCAGATTCCGGGCTGCTGGGACTATCGCAGGCTGGGAGGTCGTGGGCTTGGGCGTGGAGTTGCCGGCATCACATGTTCACCAGGTGTTGATGCTGCTGGTTGAAGGCATCCATCTGCTTGCGGAGTTCCCGCTGTACCGGCTCAGGCAAACAGTGTACGCTGGCGAACATGTTGTGGAACACCGCCACCTCTTTACTGAGGAGCTCACACTTTTTATGCAGCCTGTCGTTATCCATGACCAGTTTCTGAAAAGAGGAGACACACCTCGTTAATACAAGCCATCACCCGGCACCACATGTAGGTTTATACATCATCTAGCGTATGGATGATGAGTAACGTGTAGGATTCATCAAGGACTTCCATAATGAGTAAGGGGGACACAGGTAGGAGCGGGCAGGATGCAGTAGGACTTCACCTTTCATTATCTCGCCCACACCACCACGAGTCACTCCTCAACAACTCATTATCATCCTTTTTACCATCTCAATAAAATAAATAAATTACCATTACTTAAAACGTCACGGGTAGTTGGGGAACCACTTGGTCACACAGCACACGGGGAGGTCCGGTTTGGCACACAAATTCCTCGCCCGTCGACATTTGGCACTTACAGCTGATCCCTCCCACAGCGACACACAAACGCACATACACACCACCACCACCTCGTGCACACACACACACACACACACACGCGCGCTGAATCATGCACACCCGCAACTTTACCCGATAACTTTTGTTTGTTTGTTTTTTGTCTTCAGATTCATTTACCTCTATCACCTCTGTCGCGGGGCGGAGGACTACCACTCACACCTGCCACCTATTACAATTTATCTTATAATATTTACTCATCCACTATTGTACACGCTAGTACCTGTCTACTGCTTGTTTTGTACACTAGTGAGCCGAATGTTGGAGTTGGGTAAAGTACTCCGGTCAATACTAGTGTATTAATTAGCTTGGAGCTGGCACTAGTGTACTAAACTAGCCTAGTTACTAGAGCTATTAGGGTGAAGCAAGAGCTATCTATACTAGGGACACTGTGTCTCACCTTAACTCGTTCCTCTGTCTCGCGGCTCCTCGCCTTCGCCTTCTCTCGACTCTTCCTGACGGCGATGTTATTCCTCTCCCGTCGTCGCTTGTACTCGTCGCTGCCTTTGTCCATGTTCTTCTTGCAGATGGGCATCATTTTGCCGCTGCTGGGGGACTTGAGGGGTGATCTACAGAGACTGTCAGCTCCTGGCACTGTGGTGGGAGTCATGTTGGAGTAGGCTGGCACACCCGTGTAGGGGATGCTGTACCCACTGGCCCCCACCCTGGCACAGGCGCTGTACTCGTGTGTGGCCACCTCTTGGTGTCCCTCGTGGGGCTCCTCCTTGATGGCTCGCCGATCGTTGTGGGATCGGTCGGGATACTGACGATCGAACTGGGAGGCGCCGTGCACTGGCTGGGGCAGGTAGGCGAGGGGGTTGTACATGTTGTTGACGGCCAGGCCTCGAGGACCACTGCTGTGCTTGTCCACACTCAGTCCCTGGATGTCCTGAATGAGGCCCTCGCTGAAGTGGGAGTCGTCGATCAGGTTGTGTAGATCCAGGGAGATTTCTGGCGCGCTTAACTCGGCCAGGTCACTGTAGTCGTCCACGGGGTACAGCACGTTGCCACCTTTGACCTTGACTGGACCAGCAGCACTCTTCTTGTTGTAGTCAGCACTATCATACAGTTGTGGAGACTCCATATTGGTCTGTGGGCATGGCGAGACGCCCGCTCCGTATCTACTGTCGTCCAGTGCGCCGAGATTATCACCCCACTCACACGTATAATCTGTAAAGGCCGCCGTTGTGCCTAAAACTCACTATTACTAGTCAAAAGTTCTACTTGTGTAGTACGCAGATCCAATAGTAGAACCAGCTTTTCTCGGACCTTCGATGGTAGCAGGAGAAGCACGAGTGGTTGACTGACTGCACCCTGGTCGAGACACGACTTATATGCTCTGCTCCGCGAGTCGAGATGCCAGATGTCCCCCGTCCCGAGAGGCAGACGTATTACCTGACTGTTAACACCTGTTAACCTGTTGATAGACGTACTAAATGACACCGTTAACACTGTTTGGCTTCATCATTAAACATGAATAAATGGACTAATATATGGCACTTGCGGCGCACGTAAAATAATTACCATAAAGTATCAGTTTCCTTCACTATGTTTACAAAAAAAATTCGTAATATCAAACTTAAATATTCTTGTTATACCGTATAGTTTAATCCTAAGAATCTACAACAAAACTAAACATACAACAGCCTTTAACATTAAATCGGTCAATAAAGGCTCAGTGGTAACCGCGCTCGCATGACGTCAATATTCGTCATATGAACTCAAGTTAACCAAGCTCATTCAGGGGAGGAAGCGAGACGGATGGGGTGGTTGGGAGGTAGTACGTTGAGATTGGATTTTGAGAATTTATCCACAGTACTTGGAAAAAATTTTATGATTCGTTTTTGTAAGGAGAGTAATA